GGGGGGGGGGGGGGAGGGGGGGGGGGGGGGGGGGGAGGTGGTGTTTAAAAAGGAAGAGTATTTGTCTCCTTTTTTTTTTTAATTTTCTTTTTTTTTTTTTTTTTTTTGCCAACGTGTGTTTTTAGGTATTAATTGACGGGGATATCCGAATTTACCTTTGAATTCATACGAGGATATCAGATTCAACTGGTGGGGCTCTGGAATTCGCCCGGCTGTTTGCAGCTATCTCGACATTCTTGGGGACGATAGGTATTTCTCATATCTCATAGAAGTTCACGGAGATAGAGGTGCCTGGGAGAGCCTGGATATCTTTCTAACGGAGACAGAATCCCGTTAGTGGCGTACTCGCCACAGGTTACGTCGAGGACTTGGGAGAATTGGGATTCTCCCAGATTGGCACTGTAGCGGCCCAGAAGCTCCAGTGGATCCTCAGTCCAGACTATCGAAGCCATCGTGAACTTCCCAGGAGATGGTAGAAAATTTCCGTCAAAAAACACTCCATACTCGGCTCCGAATCAATTTACCACGAAGCAGTACATGGTTTCTGATCGTGCCACCGAAGAGAAGATCCAATCAAGTCCTCATGTAAAGTAGGAAGAAAATAAAAAGAAATACACAATAAAATACCAAATACTACGTTTTTGCCTTCTCTGTTCAAGCCAATCGCAGAGTAGAAAGGATACTTTTGGGCCAAACTCGTATCTCACAGCTTGGGATGTGCTAAGGTTAAAGCGGAAAAAGATGGCATCTTTGACATTCTCACCGGCTTCACTTCTTGCTTTGGTGTACTCCGAAGCCTCCAGAATATATACCATTTTCTCACCCTGTTCTCACCTACAAGAGGCGTATTGGGTACTGCATGAAGCTGTTTAGAGACGAGCGAAGTAAATCCGTCCGTGCGTTATACTCGACGTCATTATAAGGGGTCTGGCCCCTAATTAGCCTGGACAACTCTTTTTTTCCTCGCAAGTTTTGTGTCCCAGCGCAAGGAAGTCCAAGGCCATCCAATCGCCATACTTCACCTCCTCTTGGCGCGCGCTGCCCGAATATTCATTGGCCGCAGCGGGTAACTCTTTTAAGACCGACAAACTCTGCACATTATTATCCCTTGTCAAAGACGTTATCAAAGACGTTATCAAAGACGTTGTCCAAGAGATTGTCCAAGGGATTGTGTCCCGCTCTTCCCCCACGGGGATGAGATGAGGGGTTAAGAATATGATGGTAGATCCGGTGTTTTGTCGGAATTTCACCAGGTAAATGCCATGGACTAATTCCGAGGGAGTATGCAACTTAACCTCCCTGGAGTTCTAAAGTTCTTCACTGGGTATAGACCTGACTCGGAGTGTAGCACGGAGTACATGCATTTAAAACATTAATCCCTCAACTTAAGGGACTGTCAATCACAATGCATACCTAGTCTTCATACCTCGTACTAGTCGATTACCTTGATTACCATCGTGGAAGATCGGCCTGGATATCCGACGCTCTGCAGCCATTTCCGTCCAAGGCGCCAATGCATGCCAGTTAATCACCTTAAGGATTGCATTTCAAATACTGCGCCGTTTCAATAATGATCATCATAAGCGTTATTAATGTACTTCCCGTGCCCTGTGTCTAATTTCGCATTCCGCATTTCCAATCCCTGAGCGTCGGCGCCCAAAGCACATCGTCTCTCCTTCTCCCTCGTTTGATTTTTTTCGGGGGCGCTAGCTCTGCACTGATGCTGATCGAGGCAGAATGCTCGTGTTGATCATGCTGTGTGACACAAGCGGCGAGGGTGTTCTCGTTTCTCTCGCCTTTGATTGAGTGCCGCTTGACTGGGCGTGTGCCACGCCCCAGGCCCTTATTACTCTGTATTAACGTCGAGTCAGGTTTGCAATTTGGCCTAGAGCCCTGGAGACAAACGCCGGTCATCGGAGTTATACAGTCTACGGGTGCAGGCACGGTGTACCTGGAGCTGATACCTACTTAGACACCTCTTCACTCCGTGGATATCGGTGATGTTAGGTGTGCATGACACTTGAGCAGCCCTGGGGAGAGACCTGAGTAGTCCACAGGCCCAATGTTACGTCAGAGTCAACTCTGGCCGTAAGTATATTCACAGATCCATGCTCTCCACATGTGATGGTAAACAAGTCCTGTGGCAAGCTACTAGTCTGTACGGGAGTATACGTTGTATGGTTCATGTGAAAAGCGCTGCACGTCCGGTCTATCATTCCGAATCCAGCCATGACCAATCAACTTTGGTGATTCATTTCAGTTTCTCATAGTGACAGGCTGAGCATAGCACCATTGATCTGATGTGAGCTGGAGGCTACCCAAAAGCCGGCAACTAACGAGGATAACCGATGGTTCTCCGTACACGGGGGCACGTCGCCGGCGGCGAACTCAGGCTGCCTTCAATAAGCGAATGGTGCCAGATGCACATGGACAAATCCGGTTAAGTCTGAAATCTGACATGCATGATCGGTTGTTAGATCTCGCTAGGAACGGGATTGATGCCTCGGGATGAGTACGGGATATGACACGGAGAGTTGGGGTTGAGAAATCTGACACATTCTTTCTTTGCTTTTCTTGGTGAATTGAGGCTATTGGGTTATCACTCTCTACATTTGGCCACTTCGTATACTGATGCAGGCTCAGACACGGGAAATCATTTCCACCCCAGCTAAAGAGATTTAAGAGGTCTACTTGTATGGAGTATCCGTATACTCTATAGGTACGAGTATGCCCCTCGTACCTCTTGTGTGGCTTCTGCCAAGAGCACTATCCGTTTGAACTGGGAATTGTTGGGACACGGCTTGGATTCTGGTTGTCCTGCCAACATAGGAAGAGCCATGGTTCATGGGAGACTTGAAAAGGGATCTCGGGATGCCGTGATGATTCTATACAAAGCACCGTATACGGAGTATGAGCCCCGGCAGATAGCAGAATAGTAGCCTAGGAGTATACCAGTGAGCCTCGTATTAAGAGTTGGTCAGGGCGACGGTGAAACACGATGTCTAACGGCCCACTTTCGTCAAACCTCCCCATTAGTACGGAGTAAAGCACCCAGGTACTCCAAGGTGTATCCAAGTTATCCAAGTTATCTACAAGGTTGCCTGATTTCTTGGCTCAACACTATGCGTTGCATAGAAACCCCGTGGGCGAGTGGTGACAACACGCAATCACTTTTCCCATCCGCGCCACCAGCACCGCGTTGCCGGGCAACGGGTGTTGATTTGACGTCGATCTGGCTCTCGGCAATCTATTCACGTTCGGTCTTCTTTGTTTAGCGCCTGGGTAACGCGAACAAATAAAGTAGGCAATAGAGGTGGTCTAGATGATTGGTCTAGTAATATGGAAATAATGAAGGCTTGGAGGTCTGATCGGCGACTGTTTACTCTCTCTCTCTCTCTGTAACACAGTCGCACCTGGCACTCTCAACTTCTCTTCTATCAGTGCAAAGTCTTCCAAGCTTGTTATTCACAGCATTCTTGATTCCTAAAATAACCCTGTCAATCGCGTGGTGCACCATGCTCGGAATGCATCCCCGTTGATTGTCTCAGATATGGAGCGAAACCGCTATCCACTCCTGCTGAGTGCGCTTGTCGCGCTCATCGGATCCTCCACTGCAATCTACTCTCCAACGTCTGTATTCATCTCCCCGCAACACAATGACTCCCTGGCATACATCCTGCGGCCCAGTGGTACCGGCGAAACTGAATTCCTTTCCTTGAATTTATCCAACACTCTCGATGCCGACAACCTGTCATACAATACCTTACTGAGCAGCACGCCGTTCCAAAGTACAGACTTTAACTCGACAGCAATCCCCACCTTCAATGATCAAGGTCTGATTACGGTTTACACCGGCAATTGTCACAGCGCAGCCGATCACCCGGCGCTATGGCAGTTCCGTCCGGACACCAACAGCTCAATCGGCAATGGCACCTGGTCCAAGTTTTCGGTTAACGGCGATGGAAAGACAGCACCGAACTATCTGGCAGCCGGATTCAGTTTCTCATCCAGCCATGCGAAGGATAGCTCCATGTACGCCTTTGGCGGTATGTGTCCGTTCGCCAATAGCACAGACGAGACATGGATCGAGGCAGCAAACTATTCCCAAACCACTGTGGTTTTAGGTCAGAGCCCCTATTACAACAACAAGTATACTGCAGCCACCACTGGCAATCGTGCACCTCCTGTCGCTGAAGCTGGAATGGCTGTCATCCCCCTGCAGGCCACCTATTCCACTGGGTCGACGGGCAAACAGCAGGACTTTTTGTTCATCGGGGGTCATACGCGACAAGCCTTTTTGAACATGTCACAGCTTGCGATATTTTCGTTGCCGCAACAGAGTTGGAGTTTCGTGTCTGCGAGTGGAAAGTCGACGAAGACTGAGCTGGCTATTCGCGATTGGACGGACGTTGAGCCTCGGTCCGGTCATACGGCCATTTTGTCGGGGGATGGAAAAAAGGTCTATGTGCTTGGAGGTTGGGTTGGCGATACCTCTGTCGCTGCTGATCCACAATTTGCTGTTCTGGAGCTCGCGGAAGGGTTTGGGGGAGCTGCCGAGTGGACTTGGACAACGCCTTCTCCGGATGGGCTGAGAATTGCCGACGGATCTGGAATCTTTGGCCATGGAGCGGCGATGCTTCCTGGAGACGTGATGATGATCTCTGGAGGTTACCACATCCCGAATCAATCATCGAAGCGAGCGGTGTCTGCTACTTCCAATTCACAAATCTACCTCTACAATGTGACATCGAACAGCTGGGTCACTTCCTACAGCAACCCTGCAGGCAGCAACTCTGCAGATATGTCAGAATCTGCCTTGGGCAGTAGCTCCGCTTCGCTTTCATCATCCCAGAAAGCTGGTCTAGGTGTTGGGCTGGGGATTGGATGCCCTGCTGCTATGGCTATTCTTCTATTTGCATGGAACTATTACCGAAAGCGAGGTGTGAAGGGCAAGCGAGACTCCCAGCTGCGCGAACTGGCTCTGGGAGCGGAACGAGCTCATTTCTGGGGTCGGGATGATCCTAATCAAGCGAGCAGTATCCGCAGTTCTGGAATGAGCGAGAAGAGAGACCCCCCTGCGTATAACTGGTCCCCAAGTCACACCCAGTCGACACATTCCGATTGGCAAAATCGACGTGGTAGTGCCGCGGAGAGGACGGGGCTACTCATGGATGCTCCTAGTCCAACAAGAAACAACCCTCCTCCGGCTAACGCAAGGCCATTTTCAAACCGCTTTAGTGAATATCGACGAAGTGATGCTACCGACATTCACCCAATCGATGAACGCGAGGAAGATGAAGCTGTCTTCCGCGAAAATCTCATGGCTACCATTCCAATGGCCTCGCAAACCGCCTCGAAGACCGAGCCAGAGGACCCTTTCTCAGACACTCCATACGCGACCCCTCGAAGCACAATTTTTGGCGTCGGTTTGGGACCATTTTACACCCGTAAAAAGGAGGCCGCTCAAGACACCACCGGGTCCTCAACCAGGAGCGAACGTACAACCACAAATCTTTCAGACAGCTCGGCTTTCTCCTTTGCCTCTAACCAGTCGGTCGGTCAAGTCCATCAGGCTCGAGCTGTGATTATTGAAAGGCCCAATAGCTGGGTCAGTGGGCGTCACTCCCTCGAGAATCTCGCCACAGCCTCAACCCACAGTGATCCAGATGGAGTTGCGCCATCTGAGGACTCATCAGACTCCTATTCTACAGCTCAGACAAACGTATCCCATCGTCAGGCAGAGAACGAGTCTCTCTTATTCGACCCTCTGGACCAAGCCACCCCACTGACAAATTACGAGCCATCCTCTCCATCCAAACTTCCCCGCCAAAAGTCCAGATCCTCATCGGGCTGGGTATTGAACACCATGCGCAGAGCCCTTACCATGTCCCGCCGTGATGCCCGCGACTCTTTCACCGAAAGCAGTGTAGCTTCGGGCGTTGATCGTCGCAGCACGGCCCTCAGCTCTGATCCAGAATCGCCCTCCACTTCAGTCACCCCTCGCCGCACAGTCAGTGCCTCGGCCGAACTCTTCCGCCGTAAACAAGGCGCTAAGGACTGGAATGCCAAGCGGATCTCGGACGATGTTTTCAACACTGCCCGCTCCACCCGGGATGACCTCTTCAGAGATGCACCGGGATATCTGGGTAACGATGCCATGACAGATGACGAGGGCGATGTTCATGATTGGGATTTGGAGGGGACTGCCGAAGGCCGTCGTGTTCAAATGACGTTTACCGTCCCCCGGGAGAAATTGCGCGTTGTCAATGCCACCGCTGGCGACATGGACAATATTTCTGAGCGTTCGGCTAGCCGACCGGGGAGTCGCAGGGTCAGCACTTGAGTAATATTGTCCAGGCTACTAGTACCACGACTTTTCACTTCTTGCTTGTACTTTTTTTGGGGGCATTGTTTTGCATTCTGGGGTTGGAGTTGCTAGTGAAGCTGTTTTCTGTCGCTTATGATATCCACAGCATGAGCCTTGGAATTGAATGTCCTGACGACGAGATGTTCATGTTAGATGACAAAATTGATTTATTCTCAGCGTACTCCGTACTCCATACCACCTGTACTGCTTCGTACTCTGTATTCTCGGGACAAGTTCATCCAAGTGCCGCTAGTATACGCCACGGCATCCAAATAACCCAATCTTGTTCCTAGATCTGATAGTGGGTCAATACCCACCTGAAACCAATCAGGGTCATCTCGGGCTCGATCTTTTTGAGTATTTCGGGTACTATGCTTCAGCTAAATCGACTAGTTCGCGGCAAGGTTTCACTGGCTCGGTTTCTGTGCGTCTGGCGTGATCCAATCCTTCATCCTGATACGTGCTGCTTCACCGCAGTTTAGCATATTAGGGTTCAGCTGGCCCCCTGTGAATTTTCGCGTTGTGGACCGGCTGAATCTGAACTAATGCTGCTAGCGCGTTTGGTTGCAGTTCCGATTCTCTGTTCGGGAATTCAATGATACGATAAAATTGGAATTTGGAAAGATCTTGTGCAAGCCTACTCAGACTGCGCTTAGTAGCGCACAGACATACTCATCTGGCCACCCGAAAATAAAGGCTGAATTTACCACGTGACCAGTGGATGACTTTTCACCCATCTATATTCTGTGATACTAGCGCCCGTGGGGCCTGGACTAGTACTTGGTCATTCAGGTCCGAATACAGGTATCAGATGAGCAAGAAAGTTTATCGGGATATAGCACCAACCTAGGACACAGTCTGGTTGTTAACAGGATTGGCAGCACTTGCTAGAGTGCAGACGTAAAACATACATTGCTTCATTGATACATGTGGAAAGGTGAGATGAGTCGATTGGGGGTTAGGGACTGTTGGTGTGTAGTAGGAGGGGGATATGGGAGGGGAATACCACACTTCCCAATCCCCGCTAGGTCACTGAAATTGTCGTGGGACGATGGTGTGGTTGTAAGTGCTGATGAAGTCATACTCACAGCCTAGGCTCTGCATATCCCGAACTGGTTGGGCAATCTTTTGTCGCAGGTCACATAAACGGCGAACGGCCAAGTGGAGGTTGGCCTTTGTATTAGACAATCCCCCAGAGTCGATCACAAGAAGCTCGTCTTGATCCTGGCTCATAGGCATGCCTGGTTTGTTGTGAGATTGAGTAACGTGGCTGCAAAGAAGAAACGTACTTGGTGGAGTTGAGCACTGGCTCTTACGTGTTGGGTGGGAAATTCGACCCAACCCTCGTTTGCTGTTTGTGCAGATAGACCCTCGCCCCCGAGCCACTTCTTCTTCTTCTTCTTCTCTCTCTCTCTCCCCCCCCGCAGTGAATCGATCAGTCAGAGTCTTCTTCTCTCTTTCTCTCGCCCTGTAGGCCACAGCACAATGTTTGGAGGATTTTGAGCGCTATCTGACCACCAGCGAGCGTCTTGACGCAGTTCACTCAGTGTTGCTGAGAGACCAACTTCTATCATAAGAGACGGAGGTTGAAGACGTCCTGGAGAAAGTGTCGGTCCAGGACTTCAGGAGTAAAAGCAAAATCAGCCTGTTTAGCTGAGTTTGTACCGATGTATTGAGCAGTACCCGTAGGTGTAAAATCATCCTTGAATGTCGACAGACCCATCCCAAATAATAGCTCAACCAGGGCGGTATGAAAGACAGCAACGTCCCTGAAGGCTATGCTCATCCCCGAGATGTACACGATCGGCCTCGGTAGTATGTATCGCACGCGGATACGATTTCAGCGAGGGTTTGGTGCTCGGAGTCGTCCAAACCAGTGTAGATGGTAACGCCATTTGGCAAAACTTCGCCGCAGTCCTGTGAAACTGTGTGATAGCCTATAGGGCCCGATTTGGAGGGATGGAAGCGGACTTTCTACAATCTGCTTTGCTCGGATTGTGGATGTCATTGTGGTAACTTGGGATCTAAGAACGGACGTCGCGGATCAGGCATACTTGCGTGGAACTTTGGAAGGGGCTATCGTTGGTCCAGCTCAATCGAGGAAGGCACACTATTTACGTCTGGGTACAGTATAAATGACAACTGTAGAAAAACAGCATGTGCAAGAAAACTGGGTTTAAGTACATGTAATCAGACCAAGAAGTCAAGCTAAGATCTGTTTTCCTCTAGATATCAGTGGATTTTATGCTACTACTATGTAGTACTAAATTCAGTCAGCCACAGGTCCTCTGCAAATTCTTATTTAGATGGGGCTAGCGTGGTGCCTTTTATTGAGGTCACCTGCTGACTTAGCTGCTTTCGACTCCAGGGCTTTGCTCAGTGAGCAAAAAGCGGCAAGGGAAAGCCATGTTGTGCGGGCTAAAAGCTGGTGTATATGTATACTTGTTGGGCCTCTAGAATATTGAGATGGCTGATGATCAGCTTACTACGGAGTAACCAGATAGCCATGCAGAGTACTCGTACTTACTTAAGTACTCGTTCATGATGTACCCTTGGAAAATGAGGTGTAACACACCGTACCAAAAGTTGAGACTAGTATGTATGTATGTAATTGAACTAAAAGATCTTCACGCCGAGGTGGACCGATCCACTTAACACGGCATGTAGACGAACTCTCCCGAGATTTCATTGAATGTGGCATTTATGTAAAAAAGAAAATTATAATGTATAGGAAACCCCTTTCATGGCTTCAAAATAACCGAGATCAATCGGTAACGCTTTTAGACAAACTGGATATATAATTTTGTATGTAGGATTATTTCCCTTAAGCGGAAGCACCGTTGGTGGCAGGCTTGGTGGGAATGGTCTCGGGCAGAGAGGGGAGCAAGTTCTTCGCGCTCTCGCGGGCGTATTGAGCCATGAGGGCATCAATGATAACGAGGGAAGACATAGCCTCGACAATAGGCACGGCACGAGGTGTGACACAGGGGTCGTGACGACCCTTGGCCTCGAGAATGCCCTCCTCAAGACTGTAAGTGGCAGTAGTCTGAGCCTGGCCGATGGTAGCGGCAGGCTTGAATGCAACGCGGAAGTAGATAGAAGCACCGTTGGAAATACCACCCTGGATACCGCCAGAGTTGTTGGTCTTGGTGGTGAGCTTGGAGCCATCCGACACGAAGGGGTCGTTGTGGACAGAGCCGGGGACCTCGCAGCCACCGAAACCAGAGCCAATCTCAAAGCCCTTGGTGGCGGGGATGCTGAGCATGGCATGGCCGAGCTTGGCTTCGAGCTTGTCGAAGCAAGGCTCGCCCAGACCAACGGGGACGTTGCGAATCACACATGTGACGGTTCCGCCAATGCTGTCGTGGTTGTCACGGTACTTCTCAATGACCTTGGTCATGCGGGCCGCGGCGTCGGTGTTAGGGCAACGGGTGGGCGCGAAGGAGTCCACGGTGTTGCGATCAATTGACTCGATCATCTGAAGGAACTCCGGGTTGGTGGAAGGGGAGGGGTGTTCAGCGGTAGGGGGGAAGAGGTGCTCGTTGCCAACGGAGGAGACGAAAGCGACGATTTCAACGCCGTGGGACAGGCGGAGGTATTTCTCAGCAATGGCGCCGGCGGCGACACGACCTGGGACTGGTCAGTAGATATCCTTGGTGGCTGACTGTTCATTGCGCAAGTGGGCTTACCAATGGTCTCACGGGCACTGCTGCGGCCACCACCGCTGCTGGCCTTAACACCGTACTTCTCAAGGTAGGTGAAGTCGGCGTGACTGGGACGAGGGTACAGGTCCATTGTGCTGCCACCGTAGTCCTTGGGACGCTGGTCCTCATTGCGGACCATCATGCCAATTGGTGTGCCCAGAGTGACGCCGAACTCTGTACCGGACTGAATCTCAACTCGGTCTTTCTCGTCCCGCGGGGTAGTCAGGGCACTTTGGCCGGGACGGCGACGGGTCATCTGAGGCTGGATGTCGGACTCGGTGAGCTGCATGCCTGGAGGGCAGCCATCGACGATACAGCCGACAGAGCGGCAGTGAGATTCACCATAACTACATTGAGTCAGATGGCAATTGTGGAAAAACAGTAGAGGGGCAACTTACGTGGTGACACGGAAATGCTCTCCCCACGTAGACATGATTCGTTATTTAGAGAGAAAGATGGGAAAAGGGGTCAATTGGAATAGCAGAGAGCAAGGAGAGAGAGAAGAGAAGAGCGAAATAAAAGTGGAAATCAACAACACGGATGATCATAAGAAAAAGCAAGATGAAATCGACTCATCGCACTTCCGATCTGGGACTAGCGCACCCGACTATCGGCCTCGCGCGACGGGCGACTTCCCTTTCGTCTCCAAATGCTCGTCCCGGCCCTCCGTTCGACCTTCCGGGGCATTCGTCACAATTCCTCCTATCCTGTTCACCAATTTGCCGAACTCGCCCGCCGTCCCTCCTCGTTGCATCAGATTTACACTTCCCTATCCACAGACCCCTATGTAAACCTCTCCATCGAGCATTTTCTACTGCAAAATGCCCCGGACCAATCCAGCATCCTGTTCCTCTACGCAAATCGGCCATGCGTAGTCATCGGTCGCAACCAAAACCCATGGCTTGAAACAGATCTTCGCGCGCTTCACAACGACCGGAACGGTGCCCCCGAGGAGGAGGAGGCAGTCTTCGTGCGCCGGCGGTCCGGTGGTGGAGCTGTGTTTCACGATGAAGGAAATCTCAATTACAGCGTGATCTCCCCGCGCACATCATTTACGCGCGATAAGCATGCCGAGATGGTCGTGCGCGCGCTCCATGGGGTCGGGGCCACAAATACTAGTGTCAACGAACGGCACGACATTGTCATGGCGCGAAATGAATCCGACGATGCTAACGAGCCGCTCACGCGCAAGGTCTCTGGCTCGGCGTTTAAGCTCACACGGCACCGGGCTTTGCATCACGGTACATGCTTGCTTGATTCTCCGAACATCCATGATCTCGGGAAATACCTGCGGTCATCTGCACGAGGTTACATCCAAGCCAAGGGCGTTGAAAGTGTCCGCTCCCCGGTTGGCAATGTCTCTGCTTCACTTGCCGACTCGTTCTTTTCCATGCAGGGCGTGGTTGGGGGCATCATTGAACAATTTGCTCGGCTGTACGGGGTAAACCCCGATGCTGTTCTCAGAGCGCAGCGTGCCCATGCCAACGAGCCGGAGGTGTTCGCTGGGGACTCGTGGGTTGCGGGCACTGTGAGTGAAGTGCAGGGTGAGCAAGAACCTGATATCGCCAAAGGAATCGCTGAACTGCGGTCCTTGGAGTGGAAGTACACTCAAACGCCGCGGTTCACTTTCTCAACGTATCCAATTGAAGAGGATCCGCGCGAAAGGCCGCCGTTGCCTGCATCGCTGCCGTCAAGTACTCGCGCATTTTTGCGACTGCAACACGGCGCCGTTGTAGAGAGCCATATCTCCGTTTCGTCGGACGAGTCCATTGCATCTGAACAGGCTAGTCGGGTCCATGCAGTACTTAACGGACAAAAGCTGCATGAGATGACCTTGGCGCAATGGTCTGAGATTCTCAAACAGGGTCTCGGTGGGACGCGTGGGATTGATGACGCTCTTGTCAAAGAACTCGCCCGCTTCTTAGGTGGACTTCTAGGCGGCTAACACACTCAATTGGTTCGACCAAGCCGGCGACATGTATCATATCAACCCCCAAAACTGCATTGTACAATAATATCATATACGACAAGCCACCGCCGAGCATTGGCTCACCTATCTTCATTGGTGGACGATAGTTTCTCCACATATCAGACGTTGCAGGAAGATCAACGGTCTAACTAATTAACCCTAACACTAACAGCCTATTCTAGACATCTTAGGTTCGTGTCGATCCAAAGGTCTATCCGGCTAAATCCCCAACCCCCGCGTAGGCCCATGTACTTCAACTGGCTAAATCGGTCTTCTCAGCGAAATCCAAAAACTTCAAGCTACAAATCGGCGCAGAAACATCAAATCCGACGTTTTCAAGTGTCCTTGTCCTAGCCAAAAGAAATCGGCAAATAGCCCGATACTACGCTGTATATAACTACAACCCCCACCCTAGGACTATCACAGCCGCTTCTTGCTCTGTTTCCAGTCAGGAATCTACAATGTCGATCCACGCCAACGCCGAATCCCCCTCCCGTTCTTTCAACAACATCCCCTACCTCACACGATCCGATCTTCAAGCCGCCTGTACCGCAATCCTCAATCCACTCAAGCCCCTCTTCACAGAAGCCAACACACGCATCAAAGTCGGAACATCGACAACACGTTTCGATGAAGGCGGTGCACAGATAGAAGGCTATGCAAGACCACTATGGGGTCTTGCGTCGCTCTTAGCAGGCGGGTATGAATACGATGCCGAAAACTGGCGCCAGGGACTCATCAACGGGACGAACCCGTCGCACCGTGAGTTCTGGGGCGACATTGAAGATCTAGACCAGCGAATGGTGGAGATGTGTCCCATTGGATTTGCTTTGGCAGTTGCACCGGAGGTGTTTTGGGATCCGTTGAGTGAGAAGGAGAGAGGCGATGTCAGTGCTTGGCTGGGGAGTATCAATGAAAGAGAAATGCCGAATACCAATTGGTACGTTCTGCTCTTGCTAGGTTTGAGTCAGAAAGGGCCTTATGCTAACACATACAGGCTGTGGTTCCGCGTCTTTGCCAACTTGGGGCTTAGAAAGAATGGAGCGTCATACTCGCTGGCTCGTATTGAGGCTGATATGGATCATCTCGATACGTTCCATGTTGGAGGCGGTTGGAGCAACGATGGACCGAAGAGGCATCATCAGATGGATTATTACTCCGGTTCGTTCGCTATTCAGTTCTTACAACTTTTGTACTCGAAGCTCGCGGGGGATTTCGACCCAGAGCGAGCTGAGCGATACCGCCAGCGTGCGAGGGAGTTTGCGCTGGATTTCGTACACTATTTTGACCCTGATGGTGAGTGATTCTTCCATACAGACGTAATAATTTAAGGCATGACCCGAGCTAAAATTGCACCCAGGCAGCGCGATCCCGTTCGGTCGCTCCATGACCTATCGCTTCGCCATGGTTGGATTCTGGGGAGCCCTCGGGTTCGCGGATGTCGAATGCCCAGGACCGTTAACCTGGGGTGTTGTGAGAGGGATCCTCATGCGTCATTTCCGGTGGTGGTCTACAAAGAAGGATATCTTCAACAATGATGGTACCCTCAGTCTCGGGTACACCTACGCCAACATGTATCTGACAGAGAACTATAACTCGCCGGGGTCACCTTACTGGTGTTGTCTCGCGTTTATACCACTCGCGCTACCAGAAACGCATCCATTCTGGACCGCACAAGAAGAACCGTATCCATCTCTACCCGAGGTGGTTGCATTGCAATATCCCAAGCATATTGCCATCCGGAGAGGTGGACACTCGTTCATCCTTTCGTCTGGTCAAGCATGCCACTATCCACTTAAAGCAACACAGGCTAAGTATGGAAAATTCGCCTACAGTTCTGCGTTTGGATATTCCGTTCCCACGGGTGGGTATCAATTGGAGCAGCATGCCCCTGATAGCATGCTTGCTCTGTCAGAGGACGGAGAGATCTGGCAGACCAGAAGGCTGGCTCTTGACGCACGCATTGAGCAACGAGATGGCCAGCCTGTTCTCTTTTCAGGCTGGAAACCATGGCCAGATGTTGATGTCGAGACAATCCTCATTCCACCGACGGAAGAACATGAAAATTGGCATTTACGTGCACACCGCGTTCGCACAGACCGTGACTTGCAGACCTCGGAAGGGGCATTCGCTATCTATGGATGTCGCAGTGATAATGGACGTATCTTAGGGCCTATGGTCGATGGTGAAGGGACCGTGCATGATAATCGAAGTGGACTGGTGGTGTCGTCGGCTGGTGCTGTGGGCATTGTTGAACTTCACTCTACACTCGAACGTGTAGGAAGCATTGTCCTGGCTGATCCTAACTCGAACATCATCCATGGCCGCACGCTTTTGCCGTCACTTTCGGTGGAATTGAAGGCTGGTGAGGATTGCTGGTTTGTGTCGGCTATTTTTGCCATGCCAGGACAGAAGGATTGGAAAGCATGGGAGAAGAGACCTACTCTTCCCCAATGGCTGAGTGAGATGATTTCACCATAGACGTATAGAACCCTCTCAGGGACTCAGTCATATGATAAATTCAGACGAAAAACAGATTTAACCAAATTAGGATAAGGTTCCCCCGCAAGTCCGGGGTAAATGTTAGCGACTCCTCTTTTGACGGCTAAAGCTCTTTGCTTTGATTAGCCCCTTTTGTTCGGAATGGGCTCTTTGTGACCTTAAACTCTACCCCCACCCCCGCCTTTTCGAGTATCTGCAAGTCTAAGCTCTAAATAGTCAGTGTCGATACGTGTCGGTGTTTTCTGGGATTCGTGGATATTTCCAACCGTGCTTGCTCGCCTTGTTTTGAATCGATTCCCCTCATCTTATAGGACGCTCAGTGATCGGCCAAGACATGTAGGCTTAGGATGACACCTTCCACTATTTTAAAATGATGGTCGGCTCTCATCTTTTGACTCTAATCAATAGCCGACAAGCCTTCAACTTCACAGAAGCTGACCTTTTTCTTCTTCTATAAGGGGACTTATAAGGGCAAGAAAATCCGCTGTCAGATTCTTGTCAAAGAAGCTGAGGAGCTACGACTGAAACGATCCTGAACTTTGGAGGTCCTTGCAAGATGTCGTGGCTTTTGAAGAAGGTCATTCATAATGAGGCAATGAAAGAGGACCCGAAGGAGATCTATGGATGGAGGGTTTTCATGCTTGCCTGCTCGGTGAGTGTTGCATTTTACCTATTGAAGTCGTACAGCTAATGGCCTTAGGCTTGTTGTGGAGGAATGCTCTTTGGCATGGACTCGGGTATCATTGGTGGTGTGCTCACCATGCCTGCTTTCAAAAGGTACATATATGTATCTATCTCGTTGTGATCTAAACTCATCGCATTATTACAGCAAGTACGGACTGGAGAATGCCTCCAAAGTTGAACAGGCCAACCTATCAGCCAACATCGTGTCCACTCTCCAAGCAGGATGTTTCTTCGGTGCCCTATTTGCATCTCCAATCGCCGACAAATGGGGGCGAAAGAAGGCACTCATGGGAGCAGCTGTGGTGTCCGTGCTCGGTATTGTTATGCAATGTGCAGCCAGTGGCCACCTCGAGGCCATGTATATCGGACGGTAAGCACAACCCCCCTCCAAACATTCAACAGCACAACTGATGAAAGCAGACTAGTAACAGGCTTCGGTGTCGGTGCTGCATCCATGATCAACCCCCTTTATGTCTCTGAAAACGCACCTCGCGCGATTCGCGGCGGTCTGACTGGCCTCTATCAACTGTTCATCACAATGGGTATCATGCTCGCTTTCTGGATCAACTACGGCTCTCTGCTGCACATCAAAGGCCCTGCCGTCTATCTTGTCCCACTAGCAATGCAGGGTCTACCGGCAGTTCTACTTTTCGCCGGAATGCTCCTGTGCAACGAGTCACCCCGTTGGCTGGCTAGACAAGACAGATGGGAAGAAGCACGTGCAACACTGTGCCGGGTGCGTAATCTGCCATCTGATCATCCTTACCTGGAAGCAGAATTCCAGGCCATTGCCACACAACTCGAGCAAGAGCGTGCTCTTGTTGGTGGGTCTGGTTTCTGGGATCTCATGAGAGAGATGTGGACTATCCCCGGCAACAGGAAGCGTGCCATCATCTCGATCTTCTTGATGATTTGCCAGCAGATGACCGGCACAAACGCGATCAATTACTACGCCCCTCAGATCTGTATGTGAGCCCCCGAGAGTGAAAACAAAACACAGCTAACAATTCGCAGTTAAAAATGTGAGCATATACCTTCCATTTTCACTTTTAACCACAAAACTGACAAATTCAGCTTGGCGTCGTCGGCAATGCGACAAATCTCTTCGCAACAGGTGTCTATGGCATCGTCAAAATGGTTGCCTGTGGCGTCTTCTTGATCTTCGTAGCCGACTCTCTTGGTCGTCGTCGCTCCCTCCTGTGGACATCCATCGCACAGGGCTTAGCAATGCTCTACATCGGACTCTATGTGCGCATTGCCCCACCCGTTGAGGGTGCGCCGGTCATTCCCGCTGGGTATGTAGCGCTGGTGTGCATTTTCCTCTTTGCGGCCTTCTTCCAATTCGGATGGGGCCCTGTGTGCTGGATTTATGTCTCTGAGATCCCGACTGCGCGACTGCGCTCGCTGAATGTTGCTTTTGGAGCGGCAACACAGTGGTTATTCAATTTTGTGGTCGCCCGGGCTGTGCCAAACATGTTGGCAACGGTTGGTGCTAATGGTTATGGGTGAGTTTCCAGGCCGGAGTGGGTCATGTTGGCGACGTTGCTAATTATCAGAACTTATATCATCTTCGCATGCTTCTGTTTCTCCATGAGTGTCTTTGTTTGGTTCTTTATTCCCGAGACCAAAGGTGAGATTATCTCAGGTTTGTCTGGGATTTTGCTGATTGTGTTCCAGGGTTGTCTCTCGAGAAGATGGATGAGCTCTTTGGCACCGCACAGCTCCTCGATCACAAGACGGCTGACGCAGAGCGAGGATCCGTGGGAGGTGACACCTCTATTGGGGAGGTGGGAAAGTCTTCCCAGGCGCATGTTGAGAGAGTGGCCTAGTAAATCATTTCCTAGTTTAGTATGAGGAATGTGAATGAACACCGGAAATTAAGCCCAAGAGACAAAGACATGGAAGCAGTAGTTATCTGGAAACAGTATTCACATAGGTTCTCATTATTTCATGTACATCATCAAGTAAAAAAAATTTGTGCATCGGCCTCAAGGACCTCGTTCTGACAATACACGACCAAAGAGTATTCGCCTGCGCTATGAGAAAAAGACAACCACAAAAAATAAAGGAAGGCAAGTTAGCAGGAAAATGAGAAACGAAACGGGAAGGTGAACGAAAAATCGGCACTGCCTCTCGTTGATGAAGTGAGGGCTCCCCAGTGCGAAGGAACTGACAAGGGCCAAATGTACTGATTGGTGGGAGGTGCTAGGCAGTGGTGTTGCTGCAAGGAATAAACAGACGAAAGACGAAGGAACAACACATGATCAAAGCGGATTGCTAACGAACATAATTTGCAGGACGTCGACCGAGAAGTCCATGCTGAGTCTGGCTGCGAGTGATGCGGCGAGGGGTTGAATCATCATCCAGGCTCAGACCACCCATGCCTGAACCAAGGCCAGTACGCCGGGGCGAGTAGGGGGTGGACCCCAAGCCGAAGTTATTCCCATACCGAATGTTGCGGTTGGTAAAGTTGGTAGCAGTAGTCGTTGAAGTAGCGACAGTCTCGGTGTCGGATTCTGGCTCATAATCCGACGCAGGGTCAATTTGCCTCAGAGATTCCATGGTGAAACTGTGCGGGTTCTTGTTCTGCTGGAAAGCGTTCTGGTTGGCAGCCGGGAACGAAGAGACTGTGTGAGACGGTGCAATCCTGTACTGGGGCACGGAAGGCAAGGCTGACGAGAAACTGGAGGCTGCCTCGGTGTCTCCAAATGAAAGCGCAAGAGGTGGTGACTGTGACTCGAATGAGTGGTGCACAGGTGGACTGCTAATCTGAGGCAGAGAAGTGGACATTGCGGTGTCCGAAGGTCTATCAGCGGGCCAGTCGAGAGCACCTGCCTGGCTCACTGGCGACTGTGGTTGCGTGGGTGGTGATGCAGACCCTGGTGGTTTCTGCTCTGCTTTTGTACCCGAGGAAACGCAAAAAGAGTGCACCTTCATAGCTTCTTGGAAGAGCATGAAGAATAAAAGTATTTTGCCGTAGCGATCAAAGTATTCCCGGTTCGCTGAAGCCGTTGGCAAATGTGCCCCCATATGAACAGCCGCGGCAAGCTCCGTGATTGAGATCAGGATCTCCATGCCATTCCATTGTGAAAGGGGCCTTTTCACCATACTGATCAACGCGAATCCAGCAACCAAGCTTGCAACACCCAGGGCAGCAATCTCCACATAGTTTCCTGGTAGCAACACTTCGTGATTTTGAGAGAGTGTCCATGCACCGATGAAAGCGGCTAGCAGTAAAAGTCGGGCAATTGCGAAGAAGTAGTCACTATTCGTCTCAAACAGACGCGGAGAGCCTTCATTATATTTGGTCTGATCCCAGCTGGACCCTGGGGCACCTTCGGGCTGGAAATTGAACGCGCGATCAAACAAGGTTTCCAATCCGGTGGACGTGTCCCGATCACTGGGAGCGAAGAATTTAGGCGGCTTGAACACTGGATCAGCCTCGGAGGGCCGTTGTTGCCACTGGCCTGCTTGCTGTGCAGGACTGCGGTGGAACGGGTTTGGTTGAATCACTTGTTCGATGGGTTTTGTCGAGGTCTTAGAGCGAAGTTTCCATGCAGGAGGTGTGGGGGCTGCTGGCACCTGGCCCTGAAATGGATGGGGACCACTAAGCACAGAAGGCTGACTTCGCTGTGTTATGGTGGGCCGAAGGTTGTGGGTCACAGACGGAGACCAGTCCATGGTGTCGGTATCTTCCTGGGTGGGTGTTGCTGGGAGCGGATGTTCAACAGGCTGTCGGCCTTGAGCCAGTTTGTCTATCGGAAAACGAGGCTGGAATGTATTCTCTTTGGCCTTGGGTGTGCGACCCGAGCTGGACACTCCGGTCAACGCCGACGACTCGCCCTGCACCGGAGAGGACGCTTTCGCAGTCTCGAGGCGAGTTTCCCAGCTACTATCTGACCAATTGACAAGTGGACGACTGGTGTATTTGACAAGACGTCTGGAGACGAAAACGGACTACTCGGGTTAATATCTCCAGCTTCAATCAATGAGAAGACAAGACTTACCAAAAGCGTAACTGGGACCATAGCCGCATGCAAAGCGTGAGGCAATTTAGGGTCCAATCCGCTGGCTGACGGATCCTTGAGCACGGCCCAGAATACGCACCGCACCACCATGAGGATAAGCTGGGCTTGGTAATATTCCCCAAGACCCTCGAATTGGCCAGGCATTCCGTCGATCTTGAAACGCAGCTTTGGGTTCCACCAAAGAGAAAGCGCACCTGAAATCAACGCTAATCCCGCAGTGGGTGCCAGGTCTGGGGAGCAATCACTAGGAATGCGCCGCAACTGGAGAGATTGAGCAACACAAGATAACATGGTGATGGGCGAATCCTCCCCCACGCCCTGTGCCGATTGGGGTGCAGTAGCTGCAGCAACTAAATCCCACGCAAGCTGACCGCCAACGCTCGACCAGTATGCGCATGAACCAAAGAATAGCAGCAAGCTCCTCCAGCTTCGGTTTCTAGCCTGTCGCGATTCCCGATTCGCCCTACTTTGATCCATCATGCGCCGTAGATGATCCGATTTCGCTTCGTAGCCGGCTTTGCGGATACGATCTTTCACAAGCGGCTCACAGGTTTCACAGACCTGGGGATAACTGTCCTCGAGGCCTCGGCGGAACTGCTCATACCCACGTTCATACTCGCTGTTTGTTGGATCATCGGAGGGGGGAAAGTATGAGGCTAGGGAGCTCGTAAGGAGATGCTGATTGCGAGTACACTTGGCACAGAATAATGGGGGTTCGTTTGAATAGGCTGGTTCGGATGGACTTGATGCGCCGGGGGAAGGAGCTTCGGCGTTTGTGACCACAGCTGGCGGATCGGTAATCTCGCCTTTCTGTGAAAACAGAGTTAGATGTATGAAAGCGATGGAGGGCAAACAGATATCACTAACCTCATCAAAGAAGTTGTCAGCCTCACAGTGCTCGCAGCGGAAATTGCGAACAGGTCCGTGTGCAGGACGATTAACACGAGTAGACCGCTGCCCACAATAAAAGCAGGTCAGACGTTTGCTAAATAGAGAAGCCATGACATAGTAGAGAGTTGTGGAAACAGAGGATGTAAACAAGGGAGAATGAGCTGCTGAAGGAAAAGCGGAAGAAAAAAAACACGTGCGGGGGACGTGTTTCCCGCGACTCCAATTTTGTTGCATACATCATAGGTCTCTTGTTGTCTTTCGACCTTGACTTCTTTTTTCACCCCCCTTTCCTTTTCTCCGTTCCTTTTCTCTGTACAATGCACTAAATACTCAACCAATTCCTCACAATGAGTCTCTATCTCACTTGGTCCCTCTGGGAATGGCTCCTGTGGAGCATTGTCCTGGCAATAACACTCGGGATCGGCATTCTCTTTGTATGCGCCTGGTTACTATGGACAATCGAATCAAGCTAACCATTCTTGTTTTTAGGTCACAGCTGCCTCACTCATGATCTCACAAAACACGGCTGTTGCAAAAACTCGCAAACGAGGATCACCAGTCCATATCTTGATCGTACTAGGAAGTGGTGGACATACCGCCGAGATGTTCTACATGCTGGATCAATACAAATTTGACCCGAAAGATTCTACATATCGAACATACGTTGTGAGCTCCGGGGACAACTTCAGCGCCGGTAAAGCGAGGGATTTCGAGACCAAGCGTGGGGACGGCGAAGAAGCTCACGAGAATTACACGATTCTCACGGTTCCTCGCGCTCGAAGGGTTCATCAATCGTACCTCACCGCGCCATTCTCAACCCTGCACTGCTTCTGGACTTGTCTTACTATTCTGCGCGGACTCCATCCTGAGCAACGACGACTTCCGAGAGAATATACCGCTTACCCAGACTTGATTCTAACCAATGGACCAGCTACAGCAGTTTGCATGGTTGTCGCCGCAAAACTGATTCGCTTCGGGCTGTTCTTTCTCGAATGGAGCTCGAGGCTGCAGGGCCGATCTCCGGTCTTTACTGTGTCAAAGTTACGCACGGTCTATGTTGAATCATGGGCCCGGGTGAGTAGTCTCAGCACGACTGGGGTTATCCTGCTACCAATTGCCGACCGGTTTCTTGTTCAGTGGCCTGCTCAAGCCGGACGGCGTGCCTGGTGGGGGATGAAGAAAACACAGTACGCTGGGTGGCTTGTGATCTAAGCATTGGTCATCTAACCTTGCCGCTGGAGACATCTTCGAGTGGATCTTACTATGTATGAGTTACGATCTCGCCTTTATCAAACAAGAGAAGAAGCAAAATCATCGCCCACCTCCAGGGTTAACTGATTCTTTCTTCCCTGTTAATTTTTCTTTGCACGTCGAACGTCCGCATGAATGCTGTCATTACTCTGATCTGCCATCTTTGCTCACTAAGATATTTGGCAGCCTAGTAGCTCGCCTTACTTCGGCAAAACTACTCCATACACACTCGTAGGTTGCGCGAATTGCTCTTTGCATATTGGCCTATGAAATCATGTATATTTTCAGAGTTAATGTTAAGTATAAACCGAAGCACGTGCGTCCTCGACCGTGAGAAACACTGCATATGGCACTTGAGCACCTGCTGAGACAGTGGCATCAATTATACACCCTTGCTCTCTCTATCAACAGCAGCCTGTATCAACTTCTTGTAGCCGTCGACGGCCTCAGTGATCTGGCGCACGCTCAGAGCCTCATTGTCACCATGGGCAACAAAGATGCTACCAGGACCATATAGGTACCGCTTCACACCGGTCGCAACAGCCAGGTTAGGCACATCAGTGCCATAGTTGACGGTAGCAACTTCGAAGCCCTCAACATCAACATCAAGATCCTGCGGCGGGTAAGACTCATCGTGCGACTTGAAATCAACAACCACTTCCGCCTCGAAATCCTTCGTGGCGTCTTTAACGGCACGAAGGATAATCTTGCGTGCCTCCTCGGGAGTTCCCTCCGCAAGTCGGACAGCAACATCGGCCATGGCCTCTGAAGGCACAACGTTGGTGGCAACACCAGCACGAATCTTGCCGATGTTTAGCGTCGTAGGTCCGTACTTCGGGGATGCAGGAAGACCGCCCTCTTCGGCGGGGATGTTGCCTAGGACGTCGACGCGCGACAGGGCTGGGAGAATTGCCGACACGGCACTCTTTCCTAGCCAGGGGTAGCCGGAGTGGGCAGCACTACCGTGGGCAAGGACCTGGAAGCCGAGCATGCCTTTGTGGCCAGAGACGAGGGCGGCTTCGGTGGGTTCGCCGAAGATGAGAGTCTTGAAAGCATCCTTCTGGTTGAGTTTTGAGTCAGCAAAGACGTGCATGCCATCTCCGCCGATTTCCTCGCCGACGACGAACAAGAGGCCTAGGTTTGCGCCTGGGTTTTCCTCAAGTGTTTCGAGGGCTGCGAAAATTTGAGCTGCGACACTGCCCTTAGCATCGACAGAGCCACGGCCCGCGATGATTAGGTCCTCTGGGTCGGAGCTTGCGTCCTGTGGCTGACGCACTGAGTATGGGATGAAAGGTGGGACAGTATCTATGTGGCTGGTGAGGATTGTGGAAGGAGGCTGAACTGAGGACTTGGGAACAGCATAGATATTGTAGCGGGGCTCGGTGTTCTCCTGGCCCTTAACTGGAGGCACTTCCTGTTTGACCACAGTGAAGTTCTGGCTTTCTAGAAATTGTGCAACGAAGAGGCCGACCTCGTGCTCATTACCAGAGATAGACTCAATCTCGACCAGATCGCGGTGCAATGACAGAAGGGGGGAGTCATTGATGATATCTTCCAATTGGTCCTGGCTGTAGGTAGCTACCGAAGGTGAGGTTGTCGAACCAAGGGACTGCTGGTTTTGCTGTTGATATGCGGGGTGCGGAGAAGCCTTGACACCAGCAACCGCGGCCACTGCCGCAATGTATGCAGAGAGCTTCATTGAAAAAGAGAAATTCAGACTTGGATTCACTTCAATTCCAAGTCTAATGCGATTGTAGAGGCAACACGCACAAGTGTTGAAAGGCGTTGAAGCTTGCGGTTAGCTCCGTCGGAATGACGCGATAACATACATGCGGGACCGGGACCGGTCACGTGTATTGGCGATATCTTTGGAGAAAGTTCGCATCACTAAACGGACCCTTGGGGTCTTTTATCCCCCTCAAGATCTTTGCCTTCGAGTGTGAGATATTGCGCACTTTCTCTCTCCAGCTCTATGTCAGTTGAAGTATGTAAGGCAACGGTCTACCTGTTCAAAGATCAAAAACCGGAAACACCTGAGGTTCTGATCTTAAAACCAGTTTACGAATATGAAACAGTGCTCGCATAGACGTGAGATATGACTTGGTCTTTAAACCCCAACAGCGTGGGTGGGTACCTAGCTATGAGCATATGAAAATCACAAGCAACAAGCAACAAAACCCATGATGCCTTTTATGGACCTGTGGGGAACCTGATCTCTTGGCAATTATCTCAACTTGTGATCTATGGAATTTTAATTGAATGCACATATTACCATAGTCTCTTGGAGCTTTTGCCTCTTCCATACTCGTCGCGCATCTAGCGATATCCGCTAATTTTCCAATTAATGATCACACCTGTAGGCAAGACCCGCCAAGAACAAGGCCCCGAACTAGAAGCACCTGAGGCAACCATGACCCCTGGAGCCCCTGCCCCTCCCACCTTCTGCCCTGATCCCATCTTCACTTCACTTGCATGTCTGCTGTCTTTCGCGGCCATGGCTGAAGTTCTTTCCCGATACAAGTTTCTGCCCCCAGGCGACGCAATTATTATCTACGACAGGCCATCCCTCAATGATCTGGTCAAGGTTTACCCAGAAACCATTCTTCATGGCGAGAACGGAGGGTACTACCTCAAAAACATGGAAGGCGAGGTATTTGCCATCACTGTTGACGACCTTTGCAGAGAGTTGGATGTTACTATAGCTGAAGCTGATGCCTGGCTTGGTTCGCTGCACCTTCAATACTGTCAGTATAATGTATTCACCGGGTGGAGTTCGTCAATTCTTGATCATTTCCAAGAGTGACACGACCCATGGGGTTTCAGAAATACAGTTGTTATTTTATACAATAAATCCCCACTTGACATTTTCGGTTTTGGGCCGGTGGTACTGGCAGCACACCTCGGATGGTTGATGTTGTAATGTTTTAACAGAACCGGGACAGAATCGAAGAAGCAGAGAAAAGGGACGTCTCATTTCCAAGTCCTTGACATCTTGACGGCTTGATCTCAATGTCGTTTGCCTCCCATGCTCGGATTAATCGGCAATTACCATCCGAAATCCCGGCATATAGTTGTACAGTATGACCTCGGGGTTTTTGTATGCGTGATTCGGGTGCTCACACCGGCACTCAACTCTATGGTCTCGCAAATGACGTGGAAATTAGTAAAACACAATATTGACATACCAAAGACATAATCGATGCGCAGGGGTCTTGTCGCGGCATATTACCGCATATGGATGAAGGCACCGCTTATACGGAGTGCAGCAAAATGAGTCGGAAAACGGATCCATATTAGATGGAACATGCATACAATCTACTTACATGCTTCCGAACCAGTCTAGCAATATCCACTAGCAATGCTAAGCTATTCAGCCACCTTCTTTCCATGGATGATCACTCCGGCCCGAACCTTGCGATCAGTACCTTGGCTTCTCTCTGGCAGACTTCATTGATGACAATTCTCTCCTTTAAAAATATCCACATCACATCGGTTCATAGCATATGCCAAAGACAATGGGATTTGTATCATGTGGTCATCAGATCAAGGGCTTGGATGTCTTTGCGTCAACGTTGAGCTAACTTTAGGGGCATGCAGATAAAAGGTGTGCTTAGTCTCCACCTCCTTGTAAGGAATCCGGAAACTGAGACATTTCTAGCTGCATATGCACCTTCTAAGTCTGACCTTGGAATTCATAGTTCTCTCGGGATTCACGGAATACACGGCATACCGATCAATGTCTACGAGTCTAGGTCGCGATATATCCACAGCTTTATGAGTATCAAACGGGAAATATTACTTAGCATGATACACGGCTATCTATGACGTCTGCATGAGAAAAGTGAGCAAGATCAATAAGGTGCCTAGGTGTTATTTGTCCATGGTGCCATGCAGCAAATGCACCATGTATCTACCTACCTGTTGTACTAGCAGAATAGCAGAGCGACAACTGGAATATTCAGTAGCAGCAGGGGAAAGGCTACGTCCCGACCAGGTTCTAGGTTCAAGTCCGCCCGGATCCAATATTAAACTTTCACATACATATCTGCCTATTCCTCAAAGTTGCTACATAATATCCATACTTCGGAGTCGGTGCCGTGAACCGCCGAATAAGCAGACCTGAAGAAGTAAACGTCACACATATCGGCGCTATTCAAACTCCGTACGTAGTATAATGAACAAATTTCCTAACATAGTGCGGCAGCACTTGCCGAATACCTATAGTGGAGCCTTCGTTGTGAAGCCAAAATGAAGCATAGTAATGCTCGGGCCAGTGGATACGCCCTAAGCGGAGTAGATCTACCACCGACCAAGCAATGATCTACACCTTTAACCCATCTATGGGGAATAGTGTGTACAAGATATTGTTTGGACGGTGTGTCGGCTCGGGAGGTTCAGTCCGAACTGTGGGTGATGTCTGAAGAATTGGCTCATGTTCCAACTTAAGAAGCCCTGGTTGTGGAAGTTTATATATGGATTGCACTCCCCTCTTGAGTGATTCGATATTCCCAGCACATTCTATTCTTTCTTATGACAGGATTCCAAAGCCTATCACATCCTATTGAGACCAAGCAAGCCTAGGTATACTTTGATCATGGACTCCCTGCAAAAGAGACTTCTCGCGACCACCATCGATGACTATGCTCGAACAACCCCCGATGAGCGATTTGCGGTCATCCCACGAGGGTCAGACCTCAGCAGTGGGTTTCAAACCATTTTAATGAAGGACATGGCAGCAGCAGTGAATTCCATGTGTTGGTGGATCGAGAGCATGATTGGACCGGCGCAATACCGGGAAACTCTGGCTTACCTGGGCAACAATGATTTACGCTACTTCATTTTCATGATCGCTTGCCAAAAGACTGGGTACCAGGTAAGCAGAACAGCTGATCTCAAATCTGTTGGGATGACACTGACCAATATCTCTCACAGGCTTTCTTTCCTTCGACTAGGAACTCCGACGAAGCCCACCTACACCTATTAAAAGCGACGAACTGTTCAAAATTCTTTTACACCGAGGAACGCCAGGCCCGAACATTGGAGATCAAGGCATTGTGTTCGACTTTGGACATCTTTCAAACTCCGGCTGTGAACGATATCTTAAAAAGTGAAGCTGGTCTGCATCACTATGCTTATACCAAGTCGTATGCCAAAGCTGAAGATGATACTATCTTGATCATTCATAGCTCAGGAACAACCGGTGAGTGTATCCAATCTAAAAATAAGTCCCCATGGTGTATTAACTCCATCATAGGCATGCCAAAGCCCGTGTACCTTACCAACGGCTTTTTCATGACTCTGGGTGCCAGCTCCCATCTTCATTTACCAGCAGGCCGCAAGCCAGGTATTTACTACCATCTAGGCCAGGAGAGCTTGGTTCTAGCCACAACACCTCTGTTCCATCTTATGGGATTAATGCCACTTGTATTCTCGGTGTGGTTCCACGTCCCTACCCTTTTGGGCCCCGAGAAGCCACCTTCTGTTGATTTCATGATCGAATTACTCCGAACTGGTCGCCCAACACACGCAATCTGTGCACCATCTGTCCTAGAAGACATGAGCTATTCCAGTGAGGCTTTGCTTTGCTTGCAACAACTGGAATTCGTTATGTTTGGGGGAGCACCTTTATCCCCCGAGACAGGTGAGCGGCTACTCAAGCACACACGGATCTTGTCTGTGATTGGCACCAGTGAGGTCGGTTGGATCCCAACCCTTATCCCCGAGGACCTAGCCAATTGGGGCTACTTCGAATGGAACGAGGCCTACGGTTTGGACATGCAAGATATTGGGGACGGAGTATATGAAATGGTTATTCCACGACAGCACAATGCTCGCGACTTCAAGGGCATTTACCACACAGATCCTGACATCAATGAGTACCACACAAAGGATCTCTATACGCAACACCCGACGAATCCATGTCTTTGGAAGTACTATGGGCGGAAAGATGATGTGATTGTCTTGAGCAATGGCGAGAAGTTCAACCCCATCAACATGGAGACCATCATTGCAGGTCACCCCCTCGTCGGAAAAGCAGTGGTAGTTGGCCAGTCTCGGTTCCAGGCCGGGTTGCTCATTGAAGTGGACCATGGAGTTGCGGACATGGACACCAAGGCTTTCATCGATGAGATTTGGCCCACTGTTCAGGTGGCTAACCAGACCATTGCTGCCCATGGACGTGTGATGAAGAACAAAATCGGGTTTGCGCTGAAGGACAAGCCTTTCAAGAGAACCCCCAAGGGCAGTGTGCAGCGCCGGGCTGTTCTTCAAGAATACGCGGATGAAATTGACGCTCTGTATGCCGAGGCATCGGAGGATGGTATGGATCAACTCCTGCCGGAGACCTTGGACGAAGAGAGTGTTACGGCATTTACTCGCCAGGTTGTTGCCCGAGTCCTGGAACGTTCTGATTTCTCCAACACCCAAACATTTGATAGCGCTGGTCTTGACTCCTTGATGACTATCCGGGTCTCCCAATTGCTGCAATGGGGGATTCAGATGCGTCGCCCAGATGTACAAGCGAGTGCTGTCAGCACACAGGCGATCTATGGAAACCCGACAATAGACCGGCTGTCTCAGTTTGTGGTGACCATTTTGGGTGGAAAGTCGCAGGTTGAGATTCCACGAGCAGAGAAGATCGAAGACCTGGTGGAAAAGTATACATCTGATCTTCCAATCCGGGAAGCACACCCTCAAACAGACTTACCTTCGCCTACGACTGTGATTCTGACGGGCTCAACCGGCTCACTGGGAAATTATCTACTCCATTCCCTTTTGAGTGACAAGCGGGTGTCGAAAGTCTACTGCCTTAACCGTTCGGACGCTGAGTCCCGACAAAAGCAAGGCTTCGAGGCCAAAGGCCTGCTTCTCACCACAACTGACTGGCAAGAGCGAGTTGAGTTCCTGCAGGCCTCCTTCGGGGAACCCAGATTTGGTCTTGATGAAATCAAATATCAGGAACTCCTCGGCTCGGTCGACACAATCGTCCACAACGCCTGGAAAGTCGACTTCAACCACTCCGTCGACTCTTTTGAAGACACTCACATTCAGGGTGTCCGTCGCTTCGTGGACTTCAGTCTGAGCAGTCGGCACAATGCCCATCTGCACTTTGTTTCCTCGGTCAGCACGGTAGGCGGTTGGACACCCGACATGGGCGCGTCGGTTCCAGAGATCCCCATGGAGGACAGCGCGGTGGTGCTTGCCCAAGGATACGGCGAATCCAAGCATGTCGCCGAGCGCATCTGCCTCGAAGCGTCACGACGATCTCACGTGCCCACGACTGTATACCGCGTCGGCCAGATTGCAGGACCGAAGAGTTCAAGTGGACAGTGGAATCCGCATGAATGGTTACCGACGATCATCGCGACCTCGAAAGCACTGGGCAAAATCCCCAACCGACTCGGTTCGATGCCAGTGGACTGGGTTCCTGTCGTAAGTTCTCCCATCTTGATGTATTCCCATGCCGAGCACCCGAATGCTGATCCCATCTAATTAGGACACCTTATCTGAAGTGCTAGTGGAGATTGTTCACACACGTCATAGGGGCACCTCCCCAGCCGTGTTTCACCTGACGAATTCGGAACTCGCGCCGTGGTTGTCGTTGATCCCAGCCGTCCAGGAGGCGTTCCCAGTCGAGCCAGTGGATTATTCCGCGTGGGTTGCCGAGCTAGAAAGTATCTCTAATCCCAGCGCCGAGGATCTGGCTTCCATGCCTGCGCTCAAGTTATTGCCATTTTACCGGGGGTTGCAGGATGAGGGCAGTGCTATGTCGGTGCCACTGGATGTCAGCTGGGCAAAGGTGGCAAGTCAAAGCATGAGGGCATTAGGGCCGGTCTCTGCCGGCATGATGCGGAATTGGTTGTCGCAGTGGCGGTTTTGATTAATTTGGATGTATCTCGTGTACGAGTATCTTGTGGAAGTTAGATGACCTCAATTTCAGTAAAACTTCTCGTATTCACGTATCTGTGTCAATTTGAACTCTATAGATAATGTAATTTCATGCCGCACCTCAGCTTGATATTGAATGTCAAATTCTTCAGCAACCGGATTTTTGAGGCATGTGACATCAAGATGACATCGCCCCGGGATCGGAGGGCTTTCCTTCCTGATTGGACCGCCCCACTGCTTACCTCAGCCGTAGATTGAGTTTTTCTTTTGTTCCTTGGTTCGCTCTTAGCCGAGTGGCCATGATTGGTCAAGACGAGCGACAGAGAGATGCCACTACGGAAGCTCAGCGAGGCCTGTTCTGTCCTACTGATGTACACAATGCACTTGACAGAGATACGATCGCTCTTGTACTTCGTACTTTGTAGAGATCGGCAGAATAGCTCGAGTGCTGAAAAGATGATATATCAACGTCGGTTTGAGTGCCCAACACCTGTAGACGGGAAATTGGTTTGTTTTAACTTAAAAAAGGCGAAAGGGGAAAATTGACCTGTCGAAGCAACTTTTGTAGCCGATAATCAATGCCGTGCCAAGTTGCGCCTCCAAAGGCACACCCGACGGGCTGAGGCAAAGGCGTCCAGCGACCATGGATGTTCCCCTCTTTCCCTGGCCTTCTCCCAGGACAACTCTTACCGTCGTCTGTTCCCCGAAACCCCGAAAGAAGTTTGGTAGGCCCTGTGGATCTGACGTCTAGTCCTTTGTCCGTGGGTACTGTATACATCGGGTCATATTTACTCGTACTCACGACCTCTACGATAGATTCCGATGGGAACAAAAAATTGGTTCTGATAGGGTCGCAGATGCCTGACTCGTGTGCTCGTTCTGACGTCCTCCGTAGGGCAGGCCAGGTCCAGTTCGGAGACAGAATCCCAATCTTATAGCTGGCTAGCACAGCCCTACTCGTGTGATGTCGCGAAGCCATGGGGGGATTTACCAATCATAGCTAACTGTCTGTTTGTCATACTCGGACAAGGTTCTGACGTCGGGAGGAGACTGGTTGCTCAGCGTCGGAGGTCAAACGGATGTACTAGCCCGTAAAGATGTAAGAATGGGGATGGAGCTCATCCTCGTTATATATCGAATGGATCAATTGACATAAAGAATCTATATGGAAGGAAAACAGCAGGTGACCCGAGTTTTCCCCACGAATCACGACCGGGCAGTTGGGTCTCGGTGGCATCATAGTGGTTCTTGTTTTGGTCCCCACCCCAGTCTAGATGGTGTCGATCGCACACACAGTACATATTTTAGAAAAGGGTCCTGGTTGGCAATGTGTAGAATTTGACTGGGTGACACAACCGTGCTGTGTAGCCGTTGTAACAATGAGACCTATACTCTGTACACCGTATTGTGCAAATACTCAATACGGAGCGAGAAAAGACCCTGTACGGACTATCTGTAGGTACTCCGTACTTAAGCCCTCAAGTAGAATTAAAAAAAGGAATAAAATAAGAATAAAAAAGAACCCTTCCAGACTCAAGGCTACCCGTGGTTCGAGCTGTGTCAACCACCGGAACTGTGCGGAGGTCAACCGTTTGGGAAAAACAGCGCCGATCGCAGGCCGATTCGATGTTTCGATTTTTTGTCGATTTTTGTCGATTTTCCCGGGTTGCTCTAGTTCTTATTTTGGTTAGTGGTCGTTTTAGTTGGTTTTAGTTGGTGTTTTTTGTCGGGAATCTGATGGAATCCCCACCTTAAACGGTTTCTTTCAAAGTCTAGATGTGCCATTTTATTTGTACTAATCCTTTCGCTCTCTCTCTCTTTCTCTTCTCTTCCCTTTCCTGTACTTACGGTAGTTTACCCTTTTGCTTCTTTTGCTTCTTTGGCCCCGGGTCTCTCCCTGCATCACTGCATCTCCCCAGTCCGTTTGTCGATGGTAAGCACTCCCGTCTGTCTGCCCAGCCAGCTGGCTTTTACTGGCCTAAGTGGACTTGTTTGGTCCACGTCGCTCGGCATTTTGGTGGATTTCATGAAATCCCCATTTCCCTTTTATTCGTCCTTTTCCTAACTGGTCGTGGACTTCAGTTCCCGCCATTCCCGGATCACACCGCTACATACGTTCTTGCCCAACTGGGGAATGACTCGTTCCATTTGAGCTCTTATATATCCCTCGCATTCGATGAACCACACCCATTGATCTACCAACCACGCCTCGCGGCATCATGTACAAATTATCGCAAATAATCGACGCGAGGGAAGACTCAACGGCCCGCCAGCCGCGGTCACCCTTGACTATCAACACTTCAGCGCCCGCCTCCCCAGCCGTCTCGCTCTTCTCAGTCCCCGGTCATAATCGGGTCTCCAGCTCAGTCTCTTCCTTGGTCTCTGCGCCTGGTCTGGGAAACTCGCTGGATAGCCCCAGTCGGAGCCATTTGACCGGCGTCAAAGAAGAGGAATGCACACGCGACTCTTTGGAGGATCAATACTTCCGTAGGTTCCCAATGCGCAACTTGCCACTGCCCGTGAGGCGCTTGCTAATCCAGTTTCGCAGAGCATTTTGATTACGATATGTCCGCAGAAGAGTCCTATTTCGCCCCGGTGGACCGTTCAGACACCTACGATCTGAGCGACACCGGCATGGAAACTGCTCCATCGCCCAAGAAGCGTCGCTCCGACAGTGTTTCAATGAAAGGCGTCTCGCGCATCAACTCCCACATCTCGACGATGTCAGCGCGCTGGAAGAAGCGCGGATCAGGTGGCGAAGCCGATATGTTCCCCGACGATCTACGCTCGCGCGCGAACTCAGCCGCTTCATCCGCTCTAGCCAGCCCAATCACCAGCCCCGTGCCTATGATCCGCGGGGACTCGATCCCCCCATCACCTGCGAGAACTATATTTGAAGAGCGCGCCAGCGAGTCCGGCACACGCCCAATAGACATCACCCGCGCCAACAGCCTACAGGAAGACGACAGCGAAGCCCAGGCTACAACACCCCTCCTCCCGCCATTCATGGGCGACGATCCAACCAGCGTCGTCGCTTCTCGCGTTCAATCGCCTCTTCAGTCCCCCTCCGTGGCCGATGTGAGTGAGAACCACTACAATGTGACTTCCGACCCGCGCTTTATGGGAATTCTCCCATCACCCCCTCTATCCTCCAAACCATCCATCGCCTCTTTCAACCGTCCCCGCGCCAGCACGGTGCGCACCGTATCCGGTGACGTGACGCCCTTCGTTCTTTCAGACCCAAATGATGAATGGGCCAACAAACTCGGTCACGCCAATTTCACCATCACCCCAGAGCCGTATATGCCCGTTGTCTACGACATGGACCATTTCCAACAACTGCGCGCAGATTGGGACATTGCCCGCTGCAACTTTGCCAAGCATCTCGTGCGCACTGGCGAACATTACGGCGTCACCTCTTACATTTACAAGCTTACCGTGGAAAAATGGGAATCCATTAACGCGGAATGGCAAAAACAATATGACAGCCTCCTCAACCAGCTTGGCGGCGACGGAGTCGCACTGACTCTCACGCAATCTCACCCGTGCCAAGTGCGGGTCCCGCGTCTGCATGAAGACAAATTTCCCGAAATGGGCGACGAGGATATCGTCGGCCCGATGACAGTTGCGGGGTGTCGTGCAAAGTCTGAGAAAAAGAGGAATTTCTTCCGATTCTTCCAGGATCTCGTTTCCAGACCTTGATTTCCCCTCAACACGCACATTTATCAACGCCTCAACGCTTAATGACGATAGATACGATTAATGTCTCTCTTTGATGTTTCCACGATCCGCGACTACTGTTTCTCCTGGATCATGTCTTTCTTTTTGATATACTCTTTTTTTTTTGTGTCACTTTTATACCCCATCATACACTACTACCATTGTTCCTGTATTAGATATTCGCAAAAGCAAATACCATTGCATGGAAAATCAACCATAATACATATTTTATTTCAAATTAATGATTCGAGCTTCAATTCTGCACTCGTATGCAATTCTCCACAAGGCCACAAGGCTCGAGCCCACATAGCTGAATCGTCCTGTCCACATGAACTAGTTCGGGGTTGACTCGGTGCATAATGAAACTGCAGGGGGCCTGAGGGGAACGAAGACCAAGTGAGGCGTAGAATACCCAACCTCCATGCCTAGGGCCCCCGAGTCCATTGTGTGAGTCACTGAAAGTGGTGGGTCAGCCACGTACATGGAGCTACCGCCATTTGGTGTTGGGTTCAACGTCAGGCTCTTAGACTGTAGACTACAGTAGAAAAAAGAAGAACACCAAAAAGCAAAACTAAAAAACGAAAGAAAAAAAAAATACAATGCGCTTATGGGAAATCATTACTAGCCTCGGGAGTACCTTGCCTCTGCATTTGACGTGAAGGTCAAAGCTCTTTGTTGAGTTCATGAGGGGTGAAGCAAAGCCGGTGGGAAGTACCTAGGTATGCAGGTACTTACTCGTAATAGTACTGAGAGACACTAAGTATGCAGGCCGCGCCGACCTCGGATCTGGGAGTTTTACTCATAAATGGAAATAATTTCTGCCTAGATGTCTAATAGTGAAGATTTGATATACTGGACATGAGAGCAGATCTAAAGATATGACCGAAACATGCATTGATTCAGATTCAAAGCAGTCGAAATCGACATCCATGGCAGTGGAACTGCAATGGTTCAACGTCTATATGTCAAGTTTCGGCTGCAATCTAGATTAATAACAGTCTAGGCGTAAGCAGAGACGCGGCCATGAATTGGATCTTCAAATCCAGTACTGCCCCCATAGCTCCCTCGCCTCTTTACTCCCTCGGAATTGGAATTCCACAGGGATAATGTCGTCAAAGCCCTCTTCTATTTTGGGGGCACTGAAGCGGCGTCCGAAGTCACCGAAGGCAATTCCAGGGAGGGACGTTCGGGCCTCGGGGTTCTGACAGGGGTGTTAGAGGCGGAGTCGACGAGGCTTGCGGAGTGCTTACCAATTCTTTGTTTGAGGCGCGTACAGCGTTATTGTGCCGGCACAGATCTGGAGTGGAAATGAATTGAACGCAGCGGATGGGTACATTGAATTCTTTTGCCAGTTCGACCCAGTAGGCTCGTGTTTCTTCGTTGGCGTTTGTATTGTCTGTTGAAGTTAAGAGATGTTATTGGTGTTATTATGTGCGAGAAGGTTCCTTACCGATCGCCACTGATTTTTTATCCTGCAAAAGCTCGCGGGCCACCTTGAGGCATTTCGGGCGCTATCTTCATTAGAATAGACCCATGGACCATAAGCTTAACACATACTGTCTTGAGGATATCTTGGTTCACTCGCTCATAGCCAAGAGGCTCGAGGTGGTTCCAGTAGAAAGTGGACTTTCCAGCACCTGGGCTACCACAGAAGATGACGAGTTCGACGGGGTGTTTACGAGAAAAGGGTTTGGCTATCCGTGGTCAACTAGTTGTCACCAAGGCCATGGGGAAAAAAACCCCCCTCCCATGGCAATCAAGATCAAGTCACATACCTGGCTCCTCAAGATCATCCTTCATATACGATATAGGATCGAACGACCCCGTGGCTGGCTCAGCAGCTTGTCCCAGGAAGAACTCTTCTGGTGTCTTGAAAGGCAGGCCTATATTAGTAGCAATGCCCCTAACTTCATCAGCATTCATTCACTCGTGAAAAATGCTACACCTACCGATCAACAGCCGAGTGATCCCCCGGTCTACCGGCAGCGTCACCGACAAAGAATGACCCAGGAAGATCAACACCCGCAATATCGAGATCATAATCATCCAGGAACTCGCGCCACATGCCAAGACGAGGCTTTCGATATTCGGGATCTGTTGTGGCAGCATAGACGCTGAACGGAAAGTCCAATTCGGTCATCACAGCCTCCATCTTCTCCTTGAAGTTGGTGAGACTTTTGGAGTCACTGCGCCCGCCCTTGATATCTTTCTGGACGCTGATTTTCTTCTGATTTGAGAAGATGACGACTTGATAACTGGAATGAATGAGCTCGCATCGATAATCTTCAATCGAAAGGGCCATACCCTTCTGAGTTGAGCTCCTTCAGCCGCCCTGGGACTTTGATGCTCCACCATTGCCAGTCTGTCGCAGATTTGGGGAAGACATTTCCGGATTTCGTCTTAATCAACGTCGAATCCTGAATGGCATTAGCTTCTGTATTCACCACCAGCATGTAGGCCAACTGACCAGGTCAAACCCGGCGATGCGGCGCTGTTTGTCTGCTGGGACTTGGTTGCCCGTGTTCTGTTTTCCGATGACGACACTCGTCCCAATCACGCGCCATGTGATCGGAGCAGGTTTCTTCTGTGATGCCGGTGTAAAGAAGTTGGGTGCTGACTTCTCTGTGGTTATGGTCAGTTGAAGGCATTTATTTATGTTGGGGGCTTTCAAACTGACTGGTTACTGTATCGACTTTTCGGCGCATTGGAGGCGGGGAGATTGCCGGGGAGGCACTTCGCTTGGCTGACCCCTCGGCCATTCTGAGAATTCGGGTGAAGGAAAACGTGGTGGGCGGTTTGGGGTTACTTGATCTGATGCTGGAGTACAACGCGCGGAGACGCGGGAGTTGTCACGAAGTCACATGTTCGGCCGATCTACTCGTATGCTTTCGAATTTACGTCCACCGCACAGCGACGGCATGCTCTTTGAGTAAATAATCAATGTCCCTCTGTGTAAGATGGCTATTGTGGCGGTGATTAAATGATTCATTTTATGAAAGCTTGTGTAGGCCACATTGGATAATAAATCGCTTTTAGTTCCTGACTTCTCTCATACCCATATGGAGTCATAAGGAATAATGATCTGGGAACCGTGCCCTAAATGGGCTCCAGTCTAATTATGCTAAGTTGTGAGAACTTCCTGTGTTACATTCAATTGCCCCATTGTTCTTGTCTGGAAACAGTGGCATCTGGGCCACCTTGGTACTTTCTGGTTCATATTCATTATGCTCTCATTCTTGGGTCCTTTGTCCATGCTATACAGTTCATAGATACTTAAGTAGTCGCCTACTTAAGTAGATGATAAGACATGCAATTAAGTACTGAGGTATGAAATGGGTATCTTGGTTTTTGGCTCACTAGATGATGTCTCAATCTATCAAAATGCAGTCAGCGATAGGTGTCCGTAGTTTCTCTGAGGTATCACGCCTATTTTGCCCGTGTGTCGAGTGACAGTCGATCAGCCTGCTCCAAACGAACGGCTGATTTCAGTTGTTCTCGTAATCCGAAGAGGTGCTGCGAGGCCGTCTTCATTGTTTCTTGATTACTGCCGTCTTGGACAGTGATGAACGCCTGCAACACATAGCTTCCACTCTCCTCCAGTAGAGTCATATCCTTGAATGCAGGTAGTATTTCCCGTGGTTGGCTGGACTCATCTGGGTATTGGAGCACCCGATGCACAAAGATGGCAATGTCGTTGTGAACAAACATATCACCTTCGACCACAAATTCTGCTTTGAAACTAGATGGGATCAGCATCAATCATACGATCCGATGGTGCCACTTACTTGTATCCCCACGCAAACATCAGTGGTATGACATTGCCCCTCGGCAGCACTGCACTGGACATCAGCCTCGAGGTGACCGCAGACCGCGTCCCAGCTTCGGGAATATCGCGAAACTCCAATTTCCACGGTTGTTGCCCGTAATCGTAGATCGGCTCCGTCCCGATCATCTGAGCATCGGAGTCGGAAGATCCAAAGTCCGCCTCGGTGACTGGACCGACAGCTTGCGTGTAGTACGTGTTCCCATTCAGCATTTTGTTCAAGCGTTGCATGTCGCCCTGCTGGAGATCCTGACTGGCTCCGGTGCGCCCCGCCAGCCCTGGTTTCCGAAAGGCCTTGAAGATTAACCGCCGCTCCAGGCAGTGGCGGGGCTGCATGGCAGTCAGCCCGGCGAGCTGCTGAAGAAGCTCATGATGTTGGTGCGCAGGGACCGAGGCGAAAAGGGACTGCTCGTGCATAATTTGAGATGTTGAAGAACACGGGTAAATCCGGAGTGGTTTAGTCAGGGTCCAAGCTTCACAGTTCTTATCGAATAAGTGTGTGTGTGGGTATTTGGTAATAGCCTGGAATCTTGGCGTTTCTTGACGGGAAACTTCTTCGCAAGATCAATTCCGAGGGGGCAATTGCGGGGGAACCAAGTCAAATTCTGTACGTTTTGTTCTGGAGGGGGGTGATTGGTGGTGAGAGCTCCAAAGCCGAACGTTGGACAAGGAGGAGCTCACCGAACCCACTAAGAAGGAAAAAGATCGGAGAAGTCGGGGATCATAAGAATGCGGGCTCAGTATCGGACGCAAATCCGAGGCTCTGTACGAGTGAGCTTAGCAATGCATACACAGTGCACAGCCAGTCGGAAGTAGAGTGGGGAGTACGGAGTACGGAGTAAGGATTCATCAACTGAAAAGCGTAGTCCCAAGCGGACATGGCGTGACATACGAGTACATAGTACAGACTCCATTGTACCGTGTAGACGTTCACCCGTCCCAATGCGGTAACCTCGATTTCTTATCTTCTTTCTTTTTCCCCTCTCTTTCTCTTTTACTCTCTGGACACACACTCTCTCTCACACTTCAATCATCTTAATACTGTCTTCATCGACTCTCTAAACTCCCAACCTCCTACTCCACATCGCCTACTTCGTACTCCGTACTCCGTACCCGCTCGGATACTACCGGACCCGTTCATTTTCGCACACTCTGAAATTCACCTCCCACCTTCACCAACTACCACCCTACCACTACTACCACTATAATAATCATGCGTGTCACCATGGCTCTCTGCAACGCCCGCACCCCCCTCATCCGCTTCATTGGCAAGCGTTCTACTCCTAGTACGTGCAATCCCTGAGGCTTTGCCCTCCCGCGAAATCCTGCTTTCCAATGGCTAACCCGCAACAGAGTCCATTGACCACACTCCTCGCGTCCACCCGGCTTCCCCCACTGGTGCTCTCCCCGACTCTTTCGCCGCCTACCGCGCCAAGGCCCAGCAGCACGGTCCCCTCGGTCGCTCCTCCTTCAACAGCACCATTGGCGGCCACTCGGGCGCGTCCCTGGGCCCCGTTAAGCCCCAGGCCGGCGAGTTCTTCGATCGTTCTGAGCTGCCCTCCCGCTTCGGCCGTCTCCCCTGGACTCAGGCCGAGATGGAGGCCATCGAGACTGGCGGCGCGAGCATGTTCGCTTAAGACGCTTGAGATGATGATTTTGTTAAGATATATGAGCGTGGGCGTGACGCTAGCCGAAGTTCCGGGTTCGGTCTTGAAAATGGATTTCAAGATTTGATTGCAGGCATCTGCAACGCGATCGCGATGCGATCGGACTCGAACGCTTCACATTATACCTCCTTGTCGCCTCGGCAAGGACGCCCTCGGTTAACCCAGCGGTTGGCCGGTTTTCGTTTCTCCGTTTCTTCTCTGTACTCGGCGCTGGTGGTTCCTTCTCGGTGTTAAATTTTTCGCGACATGCGACTTCTGTCTTGATGTTCCAAAAGCGAGCATGTTCGTTCGTTACATAGATTATGAGAGGTATTAGGCTCTGGGAGCCCTAAATTGATAATCTCGTCTTCAGGTTAAGCTTTATGCATATGACGCCCTAATATTACCTAGGTATAGCTTAGCTTTGTAGCCCTATAGGTTTCTGATATAGTGGAGGTACGGGGTTGTCCAAACCGCTCTAGCTAGTTGGACAGCTACCTACTGGGTAGAGTGACTGGGCTGTACTTGCCTGGATACTTTGTATCACGGCCATACTTAGGTACTGTAGATGGTGGCTTCCCTGGCTCTTTCACTCTTTCAGGCGCACACAGCTCAACCCGAACTCTAGAAGTCTGGTGGACCTGCATGAGTATCTTGAGGCCTTGTTTTAGGGCTCTGTTTCAGGGCTCATGGTGCAACGACCGAATCAGTTCATGCCGCCCAATTACCCAGGTATTATCCTGGATTCCATCTAGAAGCACAGAAAGGAAGAAGCACATACAATAACCGCATTCTGAATTGGACTTTTTGTTGGAGGTTGAGGCGGGCTCAAAGTCCATCCGCCATCGTTCATATGACCATTTTTCGAGCAGCAGCCTCCAATCAAGCCAATACTCATGTTCCTATGAGCACAGCACAAGCGAACTGCTCAGTTCGGGAAGACCTGTCCGTGACGATGGGCGCCTCTTTAGGAGACTTGGTGCACTGGGTGGAGACTTTGGCCAAAAAAATCAAGAAGCAAGACGGTGGGTTGGTCTGTGAGCAGACATCTTTAAGATACCGCGAGGCAAATACTGCGCTTGGAAGATGGTCCCAAGAAATAGGTCTATTGAACGACAACCTATCCCCATGGCCGACTTCAGACTTACAGCCTCTGGCTCCAGCACTGGCTCCAGATCCAGCACCATAACTGCCGGCTCCCATGCCATCGCCTCCCAGAGAGAGGAGAGAGAGGGAAAGGGAAAGAGTCGATTGATAGAATCAGGTGAGACTGCAGGCAGGCAGGGCTGAGTGGGCCTTCTGATAACTACAACATTACTCTGCCGATAAAAATTGGGAATAACATGAAGTCAATAGGGAGATTGATTCTAAAGTATCCATGAAAACAGAGACTTGAAGAGTAATGAATATTGAGAAGAAGAAAAAAACTTGTCTGTTCTGCACTGGATTCCAGAGTGTTACTAGATCATCTCACGTGCCCAAAGCTTCAACGTCCACCGCTGGGACTTCAATCTCCAGCCCATCAGCATGGAATCTCAAATTAAGGTGACCTTTAAGGAGACAGATGAAGCTGGTAATTCTACTGCAACGTTCGTCTATTCGGAGCAAGGGGCCACTTCGAAGCGGGTAGGGCGAGTGGATGCAATTGTGAGTACGGAGAACATGTGTTCTCATCTCCTTCCCATTCTCTCTATGTCATGAGTTATTGTGTGAGCAAATGGACTGTATGTCGATATTGTCCTCTCGGCGATACCACATATGGAACACCAGCACGAGTACAATCAGCGGCTGCGTTTGGTGGTCCATAAACACGTCTCGTTGTTTACTGCAAGGCATGGGTGAACACTGGGATCTGATCCGAGATTTCTGCCCTGACCTACCTGATAACAATGCAATGGCTCTCACGATGAAATCCCAGAACGTCATAGTTGTTAATTGCCCAAAGCTAACTGCTCTGCTAGAGCTCCTCTCCACCAACTTCATCATGGTCGACTAAGCCTCTAATCACCTCTTTGAGTGATGTCTTTCTTCCTTCAGGATACCCCCACAGTGTCAGCGATGACTATCTCCCGTGAGTATCAACCCATATTTTGTTGTCTTACCGTAGACGTACAGTCAATACTAATCTGGAATCAGATACCAAATCTATGTGAGCACCCAACCAAACACCCACTGCCATAGACATAGATGCAAGATGCAATCAAGCAATTCAAATGAGCCCTAACACTGCAAAGGACTCCCTCCAGGCCTTTTGCAGCTCAATAGCAGGCCTCCTATCCTCCCGCGCAGTCCTGCAGGGTACATCCCCACACTCTCAAGCAGGTCAGCGCAACAGACCAGCTAGACTAACAACACCCAGGCGTTGGCGTTGGCAATCCAAACGCCTCGCCAACATCCGCGCTCCTGCTTCACATCTTACAAGATACTTCCGGGCGAATTGCCACGGTACTATTCGCGCATCGGGTTGGCACAGCCCTCGAGCCAGAGTGCAAAACCTACCGACTAGCCGCAGACGTCTTTAACGACATCGCCATGATCCTGGACTGTCTCTCCCCCGGCGTCCCAGCCGGCGCAATGCGCGTTACCGTGCTCAGCACAGCAGGTGTCCTGCGCGCCCTCTGCGGCGTAGCAGGTGGGAGTTCGAAAGCGAGTCTCAGTGCACATTTTGCCAAGTGGGGGAATCTGGCAGAACTCAATGCCGTATGTTTTAAAGAGCGATGGGGAAAGGTTATTCGGCTAATGATCTGTAGAAAGATTCATCTCAAGAGACTGTCATTTCACTCATTGGCATGTTGGTACGTGCAATCCACTAAACTCTTAACTACACTGCTAGCCATCTAATAAGCGGCAGGTTGGATCCGTAGTCGTTTCCCAGATCACGGGATTCACAACGACATGGCTGGTTCTCCTTGTTCTACTGGGACTACACCTGGGCATGAACTATGCGGCCGTGCGCGCAGTGCAGATGACGAGTCTGAATCGTCAACGGGCAAACATTGTTTTCTCTGCTCTGTTGGATTCCGATTCCGATCCCAACACCGACGCGAGATCGAGCCAATCGGCTGTTCTGACGCCTGCGCAGGTCGCGAGCCAAGAGCGCATTTTCCATCGAGATGGCGCTTTGCATTGGACAGTTGAGTCTACTTCTGTATACCTGGGTTCGGCCTGTGTGGGTATTCCCATGGCTGCGTTTGTAGCGGAGAGTCCTCCACTAGGACGACTTACGGGGCTGTTCAGCGGTGAAGCTTATATGCTTTATTTTTCGGAGAAGAGACACGTTTCCATCGTGCTCAAGAGGGGCTGCTTGGTTCAGGATCAGTTGAAGGCTTGGACACATGGGCTGCTGGCTTTGAAGTTGTGGGATGGGTCATCTGAGGTGATGAGTGTTCTTGAAGAGTCTCTCGCCTTCTTGAACAACGGAGATCGGTTTAGGGGGTATATCACGAAGCTGCGAGGTGTGGGCTGGAATATTGATATTGCGGCACTTGAGACACGGAGTGGGAGGAGAATTGATATTTGATGTTCGATTTCACTTTACAATGCAGACATCACATCAATTTCCAGTTTCCCACTATTCACTAGGGTGACGATGCAGCTTGCCAACGTCTTTTCTTGTTTTCGTGTATGGACCGAGTGGGGGTTACGGGTGCATTGTGTAACTACATAGAATGTATGGATAGTCTCCCCGGCTCTCCGCGTCCGCTGTTGGCTAATGTGTGACCTGAGACCGAAACCAAGTCTCGGAAATGCAGTCTTGTGAAACAGAACTGCATGCTGATGAGGGGGGCGGGATATATTCGGTTCGGTGTGATTGATATGAAGCGTTGGCTCAGATGCAAGGCGGTTGAGGTGGGAACACGACATGCAGAAGCTGCATTGCCAACGGACCTCGTTAGGCAGGTAAATATTGATACCGGTTTGGTTACTTGGGTTACATGGAAGACCAGAGAGAAAGGGGGGTATCAAATCTATTGATTCCAAAAGTCTGAGAACAACGTCTCGACAAAAACGCCAACCAGAGGATTTCCAACTGGTGGTCCTCTATCCAATCTATAGATGAGAACGTATGATAAATGGGGAAATTCCCAATGCCGCCAATAAACCAGAGGTGCTCAACCAGAGACAATCTCGTAAAAATGAACAAATGAAGAGTGGAATAAAAAAACGCCGTCCATATGCTGATGCATCATGCTTTCATACACCGCCAAAGGAAAAAAAAAACAAAAAGAGATAACGCTCGACAAAGGCTAGAATCAAGTCGTGTGATGTGCTTCATGCTGAAGAAGGGTCGTCGTAGTCGTATCATATGTCAAGTTATTCGTCCAGTCCAAGGATCTTGGGATCCCGTGACGCACCACCAGAGCCACCAGAGCGCTTCTTGAATCCAAGCTTCATGCCCATCTTCTTCCAAGGGTTCTCGGTACGAAGCTTCGGGCTCATGGGCAGATGGGGTTCACTGGCCGGCGGGGTGGTGGGAGGAGTCATTGGTTCCTCGGCGGTGGGACTGGACTGGGGGGAAGAATCATCGGTCAAGGCCAAGGAACCGGACTCAGCACTCGTGCTCAACAAGGCACCAGAGGTGCGCTTGCCGATGGCGTGCCCGAGTGACATGGTCGAACGGCTGTGGCCAGACGAAAGATCCTTGAGGGACGACTGAGGAGAAAGGCGCTTTGACACGCGTGACCGCACCCGTTTCATGGGATGTTCGTCGAAAGATGTGGAGAGATTGAGGGAGTCATCAGGGCCCAGGAGGGGTTCAGATGGCATCATGGAGGGGGACATGGTGTGACTGTTGATGAAGGGAAGGAAGATGGACTCTTCCATGAGATCGTGGATGCGCTTGACAGCGGAGTCGAGGGTCTCGGGCACAGGCGGTGCCGTGACATTCGCGTGCTGTAGGAGAGCGTCGCGAACCTCACTGGACAGATTGATCTCGCGAGGTGATCCCGGGAAGATGTAGGCAGTGAGTAGCCGCTGCCAAAGCATCCGCATGTGTTTACTCTCGGGGCATTCCGAGTCGAGGGCGCTGGGGCCAAGACGGTCGAGCAGGGCATAGTATGATTCGCGGTATCGGTTGGCCTCCATGGTGAATTCCAGGGTTTCTAAGCAGTGATTTTGGGAGAGGTAGGCCATAAAGGCGCTGAGGGTATATGGGGGTGGGGCGACATTGGCGAGAACCTCATCGAGAGTTGGACGCATAGAGAAGGCTCCCGCCAGGCTGACCGGTCGGGAGCCAGAGGATTCCATATCCTCTTCAGAATCGCTATCCGATGATGTGGGAGACAATTCGGGGGTTGCGGTAGGCGTGTGGTTCCGGAAGAAGAGGGACGGCGCCAGGGTCTTCTTTTTAAGCATAGCGTACAGTGTGCGTCGGGGACCCTGAATCGGCTTTTTTCTCGGGCGTCCCCTGCGTGTGGAACGGATCTCCAGGATGGGTGTTATGTGCTCGGCATGGACAATCACTATATAGTGAGGAAGTATATATCAACAAGGAAGACGTTATAATGTAAGAAGGCAAAAACGACACGAGAGAGTGAGGGCGGGAATCCCAAGGCATAAAAAGGGCGGGTTCCAGAATTCGCCCATGACGATACCTTGGGTAATCGCTCGTACAGCGCTGTAAGTGGAGTAGGTGCAGTGGAGCCAAAACTAGTGCTGCGCCCAAGTGGAGTCTTGTTCGATAAGATGTCATTTTTCGGATTTTTTTCTCTTTTTCTTTTCTCTTTTTCTGTTTTTTTCTTTTTCGATTTGATTAATTGATTATTTCATGATTCCTTTTTTTTAAACTGATCTATCCCCCTTTGGGCTTTCTAGGCTTTTTTCTTTTTCACTTTGCGTTTGCGCTTGTCCCTTCTCGGCCAGCCTCCACTCCTTCCTGTCCCCTAACTTTTCTCATTGGTTGATCCCCCAGGTCTTCCTCTGGTGGCAACACGATCACCACGAAACCTTCAAACCTTCACGTTTGAACAAGCGCTCAGGATCTGCAAGGGAGACCTATACCGTGCTCCATCCAAGTATAATGTACCTTACTCCGTATTGACTGCGAGGTGCGTGGTTAGAGATACCACTCTGTACACAATCTAGGAGAGATTGGAATTTCTTGCAGACCATCCTTGTTTTTGCTCACTCCACTATCCTTCCAGAACTCGTACGTGTAATCTTCCACGGTTTCTGGAAGCGCCCAACGTGGCGAGTTTGATTTTTTTTTTTTTTTTTTCTCTCTTTCTTTCTTCCTTTTCGTCCTTTTCTTTCTTTCCCCTGATCTCCACCGAACGCCACAGTAAGGAATATATACGATCACCTTGGTCGGGCTACTCCGTCGGGAGATTCGACGGTTATCATTGTACCCGATACACCTAATGCCTATCGTGAATTAGCACCAATCTCAGCAAGAGAAAGGCCCACGATGGCCGCTAGCACGCCATCCGAGACCGGAATGTCAATGGATGACCCACGGTTCTGAGGTATTATGTATTATATTACCGATGTAAATTACAGTCCCTTGCGTCTCGAGGGTACTCGCAGGTCTTGCACGTCATCCAAAACCTCACTGCAACATACGAGTGCATTGTTTATTGAAAAACTCAAACCTATCAAACCAGTCAATCGCCTGGACTCGTACTCCCTACTCGTAGTTACTTCAGACTGTTGTCACTATCAAGGCCCTGCCGATCATGACAAACCGGTTGAGGCTTGTACTCTGTACGACGTTGTACGAGGAATGCGTTCTCATTCTCCAAGTCGTGGACGCGTGTCTAGGGTTTTCCATGATAGGCCCAGAGCAAAAACGGAATACATTTTGGATTGTAACTTCTAGAAATCAGAACATACTCGTATGTCCATATAGAGAAAAAAAAAAAAAAAAACACATCGCAGGAAACATTGTCAGCCGAAACCCTGAGTATTTCGCCCTGCCACCCCACCCGCCCACCGCCGCCACCGGCC